GTTTTTTTTTGTTTGTTTTTTTCTTTTCTTTCTCCTTGCTGTGTACACAGGATGGTGAAGAGGTCAACACTTGGGAGTTCATGGGAGGGTGGATTCTAGTTCTTTATTATATCAGGTTCTAGGTTAAGGGCTTGCAAACTTTCTGTGAAAGGCCAGCAGTCTGTATTATCTCTGTTCAACTACTTAACTCTACTGTTACAGCAGGAAAATAGCCATAGACCGTAGCAAACAAATGGCCATGGCTGTGTTCCAATAAAACTTTATTTATAACAGTCAGCAGCAGGGCCACACTTGGCCCACAGGCTGTTGTCTGCTGGTCCCTGCTCTAAATAACAGTAGCTCTGGGTAGAAGGCTGACTTTGACAATGCCTGAATCTAAAAAAAAACCAGTCTTTTATATGCAACCATAATCTGCTATAAAAGTTACCATTCTCTAAGGGGTACAACTATAAATAAGGAGCCTTCACAATGAAATAATAGAATCACGTTTGAACCATAAAGAAGAAAATTAAGTACTTTTGTATTTCGTTAACTAAATTATTTTCTAATCCCAAGATTACAAGTATGAGAAAGTATGGGTATGAAAGTCATTTCAAGCACTCATTTAACACTAATTTTTCATTTTCCATTGCTTGCCATCAACTAGGGAATGACTTACCTAAAATGATCATTTAAAAAAAATGGTTTCACTTCTTTGATCAGGAAGCTCAGAACAGTAACTATGAAGTTAGTGATGGTTTCAGTATTATTGCAAGTCATAATGGAAATGATTTGCACTATGGTGGGGAGAAAAAGGAGGGGAAAAAAGATCAAGTATTGTTAATTAACTTCACTGTTTCTCCACAAATGCAAGGAGTATTAAAAACAAGATTGCTGAAGTGCAAACATCAGGAATTAATGAACAATGGATGTAATTGAAGTAACAGAGAATGACTTAATCGGGACAGTGGGTTGTTTAATTATGGGGATAATGGATCTTCTGAAAGGACAAACTAAATGGAACAGAAGGAGCTGAGGGTGGTCGAGAGAGCACCAAGTTCAAGGCAGCAAGGAACTCCTGCTAGAGAAAGCACTGTGTGAGATAGTGCCCTAAAATGGTAACTTCAATTGAGGGAAAAAAGACAGCTTGGTGTGGGTTGGTAGAAACCTCCATGAAATCATAGTGGAGCATATTAAGATGTCTGCAGGCATGTATCTGAGCTTTTGGGGAAATTTCTAATAATCCTAAAGACTTTCTCAGAGATATGAGAATGTCGACAATAATATGCTTGCTGGGATGCTGAGTCCTGGGGTGCCAAGATGCTATCTCTCAGCTACAGCAGATTGCCAAGTTCATTTCCTGGGCTTCAGAGTTCAAAAAACCATTTCTCACTTAACTTTGATTACAAGTCAACTTCTCTTGCTAATTCAGCACACTTGCTACGAGTTATTGGGTTTTCTCATCTCCTCCTAGAAGTGAAGCACATGGCCCCACTCCCCAGTGGTTTCTACTTTCCTGGAACTGAAATCCCTAAGCCTTCACTTGCTCCTCCCAAGCTTCAGGCCATCTGCTCTGAAACCAGACCCTCTGAGGGTGGCCTGAGGAATTCCGCCAAAGAGTAGATGCAGCTAACATTTCGGAAGCAGGGAACCTCCAGGGCACTCTGACAGCTGTTTCTAGCTGTCAAGTCTGAGTCCTCAGTGTGCAAACCTCCCCCAGGAGCCTCACCTCTGGAGAATGCCGCTAGGACAGCTCCCTCAGCGGCTCAATCTGCAAGGTCTTGCCAGAGAAGGAGGGTTGCTTCTGACTTTAGAGTTGGGGTGACTCTATAGAGCTTTGCCTACATTTGAGAAGACTGAGGAGTTTGTCCCCCAGGAAGCAGCAAAGAATGACTCCCAAAGCCCAATTGTTAGAATAATGGCTGCATGTGTAAGAAATTTTGGCAGGATGTTTTTTATATTCTAGAAAATGCCCCACATATCAGGGAGAACACATCCTACTCTTGAGGTTTATGAAGCTTAACTTTAAGGTTGTCACAGGAGGTGCTGTGTTTCTGAACATTTCCCCCAACAGCAGTGTGGGGGCCTCTTTGTAAATGGGTCCCGGCCACGGCTCCAGGCTTTGTCACTTCAAGTCACTCCTGTGGCTGCTCTTGACTGTCACCAACTTTTCTTTCCTTGAAAGACTCTACACACTCTCACTCTCTGTTCACCACAGCTTGGCTTTCAATTACATCAACTAGCTCAGGAAAGTCAGAAAATCAAGACCTCAAACCATTGGGTGTACAGGTCTGGGAGGAAGGTAGGGGAAGGAAAGTGAGAAAGGCGGGTGGGGTGGGGGGAGAAGACTGAAAGACGAAAAATTTAAATATGGTTAACCTGAGGGTACTTATCTTGAAAGGTAAAACAAAACCTGACAGTGTTTGGAGTGACCTTCTGCTAACAGTCCATCACACAGACACAAATGGGGTCTCTGCTTGCTCTCGAGTGTCTCTCTGGTCACCCACCTGAGCCAGATGTTCAGACAAGGCCAATAAAAGGCATTCAAGGGGCTCTCCCTGGTGGTGCAATGGGTTAAAGCATCACATTTGATCCCCAACCAGGGAGGTGACCCACATGGCGCGGCAGATCTCTCCTGACTGGCTCGCTGCTCCCCTCAGCAGTGTACTTTGACAATCTGCCTGTTCTGCTCCCTGCTCTGTCTCTGGTGAATCCTCTCACCCACCACATCGCTGGTCTGTACTCTGGCTCTGTAAGCATAAATAGATAAATCTTAAAAGAAAAAAAAAAAAGGCATTCAAAATTGTCTTTTTTAAAGGCAAGGCCCCAAGAAACCAGCGGGCCACCCATTTTTCATTCTCAACTCAAGTCTGTCGTCAAAAAGACTCACGTGGATGTCTAAAAATCATTTTCCAACAGCCTTTTCCCCCAGAGGCTATAAAAGAAAAGAGACTCCAACAGTCGACATGAATTTCTCCAACATCAAGGAAGATTTTGATGATGAGTGTTAAATCAGAAACACATGGTCTTAACTGACTGTGAAATAAATAAATTTTCAGCATAAAAGGAGGGAAAGTGTTCAGCCATAAAGCATTAGAAAGGACAGAGACCTCCACGGTTGCCTGACTTCCCCACTCCCAGTCCTGTCTTCTTGCCTGGGATTAAGTGTCACAAAGAAGTCTGGACTTCCCTGCCCACATGCACTCATGGACATCTGGGGCCTCTACCTCGCCTTCCATGAGCATGACATCCTCTGGGTGGGGCCGAAGTGCAGAGAGCCAACAGGCCCCGGTGCCAATCTGCCTTGTGTGCTCCATGACATGCCCCACGCTGGACACGCATTACCCGCAGTGGAAAAATTCCTCTCCATTCCTGGGTTCCATCCCTACAGATTCTGATTTAATCAGCCTCCAGGGAAGGCCAGGCACTGGTCTGCTTGGAGTTGCCTCTATAACAAGTGCCCGAAGAGACAGAAGAGCAGCTTAACAATGCTCCACTGAGCACCTAGGTGCCAGGCAGTATTCTAAGTGCTCCCTGCCAGGAGCCCATGCAGCCTGCGGGGCCCGCAGTCACATCCATCTTTCAGATGAGGAGACTGGGGCACAGAGAGATTTTGGAAGTTGCCCAACGTCAGAGAGTTAAGAGCGGCAGAGGCCGGAATCCAGCCGTCCAGGTCCTCAGCCCTACCAGAGCTGTAGAGAGGACTTTAGACATGCAAACTCTTGGCCACACCCAGACCTACTAAATCAGACACTCAAGGGTGTTGCCTTGCCACTGGGGCTTTATAAGCTCTCCTGGCTGCCCTGATGCTGAAGTTTGAGAACCACTGCATCTCCAGGGTAGACAGAGCAGTGAGAACTCTGAGTGCTGGGTTTCTGCTGGGCTTCCCCATGGCGGCAGCAGATAAGCCACCGTGACAGGGATACTCTGACCTGCTGACATGAGACTGGGCCCCGGCCAGAGCAGGGACCCAGGACCCGGTCCACAGCCACGTGGAGCCTTCTCAATTAGAGGATGAATTTTCTCAGGGTGACACCACCAGGCCATCCAGAGTGAAGCCACAAGAGGCTCGGTGCCTCAGCCCCTCTGAGCAATACCAAGCCTCACTGTAATTTCTCCTCCATGAGCGAGATTTGAAGCAGACCACAGTCTCCATAAAGCTAACAATCAAACCAAACCCAGTCATTGCTTCCCCAAGTCTATTACCAGAGGCACGGAAGATTCCTAAGTAATTTGGGAGATAGCTTTCTCCCTAAAATCCCTGAATGTGCAAGAAATTTCCTTCCTTCAGGAAGGGCACAGGGTGGGCTGGTGGGGTGGGGATGGGTGGAAAGGATGTTCTCAAGTGGGTGAAACTCTCCAGCAGCCAGGCAATCATCTTGCAGTGATTTACAGGGCTCCTCTAAAAATATCTATGAGATCACAGAACATTAAGTGCATGACACCAAACATTTGTAACTAATCCATGAAAATAAAGTAACGGCGTCATGTTGCATGGGGAACACGGTAGAATTTGTCTTGTGTTATCGTTCTAAAATAAGACGGCCTCAATTTGGTTGAAATATATCTTCACACATTGTCTTCCAGAGCAGAGCCATTTGAGAAATTCTGATTGCAATTATAAGTGCTGAATAGGGACTACTTTGCATTTCCTTTGACGACGCTGCAAGCTATAAGCAATCCTGATATTAAAATCTTTGGAAATTGATGAGTGTCCCAGGCATCATTACAATACTTTCTCCCCCCCTCAAGTAATTAGAATCTATTATGTGAACACATGCTAATTTTTTACCCACTACTGTTTTACATTAACTGAATGCACAGACTCCTGCAGAAGGAAAGAGCATTTCATTTTA